AAATAAGGACAAACACATACATAGGGAAAAATACTGGTATATCTGAAGAGGTATTTACAACAGAGAGATTAGTAGTCAAATGAACGCAGGTTAGTCAGTAACAATCAGAAAGAGTATAAAGTCCAACTGTATCTTCCGGTAGAGAGATGGAAGTGTGATGGTCACCTGATCTTCCCAGAACTCTATAGAACTGTCCTATTAATAGTAGAGAGATCAGTCCATTCTGATGAGAAGGTGGGTGCGCCCCAACAATTAGCATTTGAGCCTTTTATATTATGTATATATATATATATATATGTTAATCATTTCACCGCAAGCAAGGCAATTAAGCCACTAAGACAATATGTGTGTATATATATATATATATATATATATATATATATATATATGAGTGTGTAACCAAGTCAGAGTATTAGCAGCCTGACCAAGAGATCCAGGTTTGAATTTCACTATTGCTGATTTGTCAGTGTGGATGTGCATGTGAGGTTATGGATTGAAGCTCAAAATGGGAAACCAGAGAGCTCAGTTCCAATTCCTGGTCAATTAGTTGCATTCGCTTATGCTCAAATACCCTTAGGAAAGGTACAAATCCATTGCTTCTCCTCTCAGTTATGGGTTGTATAGGCTTGTTTGGCAGCCATTATAGAGATGGTGACTTGATGAAATCACCCACCTCCCTGTAAACCTGGGCCACTCATGGGGATGCATTGGCCCATGAAAATGCACATCGACTTAAATCCTTCAGTTGTGTGAGTTGAGCATTCTGCTGCAGACAGAGATACGCTTCGGATAATTGCAATATAAACCACAGGTTGGCTCTGAAACACAAATGTGCCTGAGAAGGTGTGTGCAACAAGGAATTAATGGATTTTATTTTTAAAAATTAATGGATTTATTTTTAATCCAACATTTTTACTAATTCAAACGTTATTCTAGTGGATAATTTGTATTTCAAGAACAAAGACAGTATATGTCTGGAAAACCAGAAGTCAAAATGACTACAATTGAAAGAAAAGAGGAAAAGAGAAAAGACAGAAAAGGTAAAAAACTAATTAGGAGTGAGTGTAAAGTGAAAAGAAACAATGAAAAGGACAAATAACCACAACTTTCTATATGTACACACATGTGCTGATGGGCACACAGGCTTGGACATACACATGCATGCACACAATGAAAAGCGCATATATAAAAAGAAATATCAAGAAGTATAAGCAATCAATTGCTGATAACCCCTGATGAGTGGACAGAGTGATTCCTCAAGAGTCAGTTTATGAAACTCTGGAGTTGGGGTATTGAAAGTAATAAAGCTAAGTGAAAAACCTTTTTACTTTTATTAATTATATATATATATATATATATATATATATATATATATATATATATTGGTAGGCCATTGTTTGTCAAACCTCTACAAACTAAAAAGGCCAGTCATCAAAAACTGACCAGTCTAAAAAAAAAAAAATGCCACCATGCAATTTTTGCAGTGATCATAACTACTAAGTTCCAGTGTCCCCATTGCCCCAGGTTCTTCATATCCAGTCTTGGGTTACGAAGCTACCTCTAGATCCACCAGTGAATCCCATAACACACACACACACATATATATATGAATGATAGCTACACATACACATAGACACACACATACATATATACAAACATGTTTAAAAAACAACCTAACACCAATAAAAAGCACATAAATTATTTTCTAATTTAATATAAAAATAATGAAAATGAGAAAATCAGCAGAAAATTGCTGATACCTTGTGATGAGTGAACCAAACTATTACAAAAAGGTTCATCTACAAAACTCTGGATTTGGGATGCTGAATATAACATCAATCAGCTAAGTGACAAATTTTATATTTGTATTAACACTGTAATGAGAGTATATGTCTAGAAAACAGGATGTCAAAATGGCTACAATTAAAAGAAAAGAGGTAAAGAGAAAAAGTGTTTAAGGAGTGAGTGTAAAATGAAAAAATGATGAAAAGAACAAATAAACACAACATTCTACGTGTATGCACATGCGTGCAGACAGGCATGCAGGTGCATGCACACAGACATGCATGAACACATATACTATAAAAAAAATTACACCAATGGAAAGTGCGCATAAAAAAGAAAAATCAAAAAGTACAAGCAGTCAGTTGCTGATAATCCTTCATGAGTGGACAGAGTGATTCACAGAGGGTCTGTCTGCAAAATTCTGGAGTTGGGATGCTGAAGGTAACAAACTTTCTATTTGTGACAACCCTTCTTGTATTAACTTGTATTAATTCTTTCTCTCTCTCTCTCTCTCTCTCTCTATATATATATATATATATATATATATATATTGTGTTGACCAAAAAGTTTTTTCACTTTATAAGTAAATTTTCTATTTAATAAAGTGAACAAACTTTTTGCAAAACCCAATATATATGACAATAACAGTAATAAAGATTGTAATATGAGAAAAACAAAGCATTATTACAGAGAGAGGACAATTCTTTTGCAGAATTACATCCACTCTTCAGGAGAGTGGATGTTAAATTTTACAATCAAGATAAAGCATTAAGAATAAATAAAATTAGATTTGTGTAGTTATCTAACAATTGTTTCTACTGTGAGTTTCACAGAATTGATTCCACTCTAGAAGAGACTTGATTTACTGCAAATCTCCTGCAGAATGACTATACTTCATGAAACTCAGAATAAAGAATAAAATTTAATTAATTTATATATATAAATTAATTATATATATATATATATATATATATATGTGCGTGTGTGTGTGTGAGTAAAAGATTCTCAGAATTCATCTCTAGAAAAAGACAATAGGAAAACTGTATGTAGTTTCAGTTGACGCATTTCGTCCAATGCAGATGTTTTCAAGGCAAAAAAAAGAAATGAATTTATTTGAACAAAGTATCTATAAACAAAAACAAAATGTTTTTAGTGACTGGAAAAATGTATATATTCATTGGGTTAACAGAAAAATTATGTCATACTTTATATGCTCAAAGAGAATTTTTCATATGTGGAAATATTGTTTGGTTGTTGTGGTGACGAATTAAACCATTTTCTTTTGATTTCTTCATATATTTGTTGTGTATGTTGGCTTGGGAGAATAGTGATTCTGTTAGGAAAGGTGAGATTGGGGAAAAAACTGGGGCATAGATTAATATTTGGATAATATTCAATGGTGGCACTCTCAAGAATTTTCCTTCTGAGTGAATTATTTTCTTTTTTTATGTGTGTAGCTTTGTTAAAATCAAAATTGTGGTTGAATTTATTTCTATGTATGACCAGAGAATTGTCATTTATGAGGTCCCTTTTGTGTTCATAGATGCATTTTTTTTTAATTTCTGCATGTTTCTCCAATGTATGGAGGAACAGTTTTGGCAATTTATTTTATATATGCCTGCTCTTGAAATGTTATTGTTATGGGTGTTTTTAGATCTTATTATATTCATAATGGTTTTTGAAGTGTTTGTAATTATTTGGATGTTGTTTAGATGGGATAGGTTGTTCTGGATAGTAAACATGACGGAGTTGGTCAGTAGTATTATGTATCTCTTCTTGTATAATTTATTATTATGGATGATGGTGTTATTTTTTTTGCAGTTGTATGCCTTTCTTCTTGCATCGTGGATCAAGCAATATGGATATTATAGGTTTTTGAATGTGTTTTCTATGTATGTTTCTTCTTTGGGTAAATATTGAGGGCTGAAAATTCTTAATGCTCTTAGATAGAAACCTATAATTATACCAGATTTAATTTTAGAGGAATGGTTTAAATAGAAGCTGACCAGGTCGTTTTTGTTGGTAGCTTTTTTATCAATGTCAAAATTAAGTTTATATTTGTTTTTGTGTAACATGATATCTAGGAAGGGAAGAGTGTAGTTGGTTTTAATTTCAAAGGTGAAGTCTATTGTAGGTTCAACATTGTTAAGTTAGTTGACAAAATCTGTTAAATTAGTATTTTGTAAATTTATTTGGTGAAATACATCTCTCAGAAGCTCTGGCACACATCATCAGTGATATTTTTAACCATGGAAAATAAGGTTTTCTAGTTTTACAATATCAAATGTCTTCTCCATGACAACCCAATTGATATAGATCAAATATTGACTCGTGTTCCAGCTATGAGCTACAACACTTATAATGGAATGCTATCCTAATCCACCGTGAAAAAAAGAACTTCTTTGGCCTTCATAGTCCAATCATGTTCAACTTACAGTTCAGCAGTTTCTATGATCTTATATATATATATATATATATATATATATATATATATATATATATATATATATATATATATAAAAATATAGATAACTAGACTCGTTTGAAAAACCCTCGAATTTTTGATTTGCTAATCAAATCAATCTCGAGGAAAAAAAGGTTTTAAAAAAGAAAGAGCTACAAACATGGACTTCTGCCGACAAAAAAATCGCACAGATGCAGGTCTGAAGCCCAAAGAAAAAACCCCGATACGAGTAACAACTAACTAACAAAAGAGCTCAATACAACCATAGAGCAGACCATATATATATATATATATATATATATATATATATATATATATAAAATACTATTGGTCAATATATATATATATATTTCCAAGAGGATAAAATCCAGGTAGAGCTCTATGTCAAAGACAGAGCAAGTATATAATATAAAAGGCTCAAACACTAATATTTCATGGTTATCATTTATTACATTGGAATCATAATCCAATTCATCAGACCTACAAATTTGTAGGTTTGATGAATTGGGTTGTGATTCCAATTCCAATGTAATAAATGATAACCATGAAATATTAGTGTTTGAGCCTTTTATAAAGACAAGAGGAAAACGTCTCTTAGCTGACATGTTTGGTCCTCTGAGGGATTTTATCAAGACAAATCCTATATTGTCTTTTTACAGATATACTCTATCTGAAATTTTACAAACACACACACACACGCATATATAGAATAGAGAATAAGAATAGAGAAGTGAGGTAGAGTTGTACTTACTTTGGCCATTAATTTATTTTCAAATTTTTTGCTTTCTAATTTCTTCATTTCCTGAGGCACATTGTATGTCGTTTCAGGAACTGGAATTGGTGTGGCTTTCTTTGAGATCTGAAAATGAAATTGATTCAAGACTGTCTAAATATTTCTGTTGCTAGCCTTTAGGGAAAAAGTGTATTTCTACACAATCCTTATAATTCCCATTTATTTGCTTTTGATAACAAAATTATTGATGCACAAACAACTTAATAAACAAGCATACATTGACTATATCTTCAAGAATAACTATGCTGGCATGTAAAAATTTTGGAATACCCTGGTAAATTAATTACTTTTGTTAATTTTACTCCCAAATCAAGTGATTAGCAGTATGCTTTTCTCAATGCATTTTATAATCTTTGAGGTCCAGAAAACAAATTACTGCATTCTTGTTAATGCTGTTGGGTGGATGATACAGCATCTTCAGCATAGTGTTTTTATTGTTTTTCCACCAGTATATATTATAGAACAGTCAATTGGGGGTCTCTCTTGCTAAGAGTAAAATGTTTTACATTCTGCTATGAGCTGAATCAATAAAGAAAACAAAACTGTATTCAACATTTCTATTTCTACCAGAGAGAAATATTCACTAATGTAATAGGTATTAAAAATACAGACAAAAACAATACAGACCATCATAGGGATTGGCAGCTTTCTTGGATGAGGCTGGGTCAGGTTGAAGGGTTGTAGAACTATAAACCAAAGAATAAAGTGGAAACATGTAAGCAAGTGACAAGATCATGTTGGAAAATTAATTAAGTGTCATTTATAAATTCAGGCAGTCTTCTTCATATAGAATCTTGCATCATTTTACAATTGAAATGGCTAGATGTAAGTTCTATGCTAACAATTTCTTCTATCACACTTCTTGCTTGTGGAACTCTCTTCCAGCTTCTAGCTACTCGGTCAACTTTAATCTTCAAAAATTTAAATGTAATATTAATCGTTATTTTCTGTCTTCTTAATTCTTGTTCTTTTATTGTCCTCTCTCCTTAAGAGTAGTTTTTTCTTATATTCTCTCACATTCAGTAACCCCTTGTGTCCTAGTGGCTTTATTGCCTTGTCTGGTGTGAAATGATTAAAAAAGAATTAGACAACTCTTTAATGTTCAAATGTTGATAATTTTATTCTGGGATATTTCATTTCTTGATAATTCATTTTTGCTCCAAATTGTAACCTAATGTAAACAGTGACAACATATTATTTATATGTAATGGATTAAATCTGACAAATATTTTAATATATGGATAAATTAAATCTACAGTAATTAAATTTTTCATTATAAATTTTTAAAAAAATTATATATATTTAAATGAAAACTCTAACATTTTTAGACATTTAAAACAACATGCCTGCCCACAAATCCTTGTTGACAACACAACTATACTTAAACATGAAAACAATAAACAAAAATTAAAAATTCTTGAAGCTTTATACATAAAACAGTTGAAACCTAACCTGAACAAAATAAACTACGAAATCTCCACAAACATTATTAAATGCCTATAATTGATAACAGAAGCCATTGGTTCATACCAACGGCTTCCCATACTTAATACTTCTCATTTTTCAGTCTCGCGTGGTCATGTGTGACGTCATGAGCTGTGACACGATTTTCGCTTCTACGTCTCATATATACGAGTTTGTCATTACTTGGAAATGCAGCAAGGGTGGACTATCATTGTTGTTTCATCCATGTGTTGTTTGATTTATTGAAATTGTCATCTTTGATAATGGCTTATGTAAGCCGAAGGTTTAGATTGGATTTAAATGTATCAATATAGTGTTTTCCTTTTGTCTTTCAACAATAATGTGATTAAGCTTATCAGACAATATGAAAGGAACTTACTTAAAAATAAATAGACAAAAATTGTCTATATTATTTAATGAAATATATATATATATATATATATATATATATATATATATATATATATATATATATACATGTAGATGATATTTTTTGTTTTAATGAAAAAAAACAAGAAATAGATAATCTCAAAACCACATCTGAAAAAACTCTGTCCTTAACATTACTTACGAACTGAGTCCCAAAAAATAAACTCCCACAGATGTTCTCATTCTTTCTTTTTATGTACTGTGTTCTTTCAGGACATAGGCGATCATGGCCTTCCACTTCCCCTTATCTCTTGTGGCTCTCAACAGGTTTTGTGTTTCTGCCAACTCCCCCAGATCACACTCCACCATCCAATTCCCCAGGCCTGCCACATATATCATGCACTGCTTTCCTCTGTCTCTTTTTCCCTCTATTCGTCCTGTGAGTATCAGATTCTCCAGGCCCTCCTTTCTCATCACGTGTCCCAGAAATTTCATCTGCCTCTTCCTTATGTTAAGCATAAGCTTCCTCCTTTTTTGCACCCTCTCCAAGACCTCATCATTGCTCACATGCTCAGTTCATGGTGTCCTCAGCATCCTTCACCAACACTTTCACCATCTCATTATATAAAATACCCCAGCATCAGAAACTCTTGCTACCTTAATTTTAAGAGTGAATGCCCACTTAGATATAAAATAGCAGTTATAAAAAATTTCCTAAAGAGAGCACACAAGAATTCATCCTCTCATCTACTTTTCCTTAAAGAACTCAACAATGCAAAACAGACACTAGTTAACAATGGTTTTCCTATGTTATTGACAACCAGATTAGAGTATTTCTTTCCAAACTAATTAATAATGATACTGAACACACAGACAAAAACAATGACATTAATATCTTTTACAAAAGCCAAATACACATTAACTATCAGTAAGATGAATTTTCCCTTAGAAATATCATAAAGAAATACACTACCCCAGTCGAACTAAACAAGAAAATTAATAATCCATTACAAAAGATTTAAAACAGCTAACCCTATCATAAAAAATAACAACACACCTACAAAATCAAAACTATAAAGAACCAACGTTCATTACAAGTTCAAATGCCCCTTATGGAATTGTGTTCCTGATTAAACCAAACTCTTAAATAATTACATTGGTCACACCACTACATGCCTATCCAGACCACTTATGTTACACCTATCCAACCACATTCATCAGAACTCATTTAAATACACAAAAAATCCTGCCAGACTCCATCCCGAAAATACTAGTAGAAAATACAAGCATAATAACCCCATCTACATGTAAAAAAAGATTAAAAATAATGAAAGCCCTAATAATAAAAAGAAAAAAACAATACTTAATAATTATGAATACGGCCACAATGTGCTGACTGTGTTTGGAAAATAAAACATCCTTATAACTCTAGATACATACACACAACCGATACATTTAGTTAAAAATTAAAATTAAAATCATCCTTGATAATGGCTAAAAGTATAGCTGAAAGCACTTGAAAATGCAGAACTTTTGAACAGTTTTTACACACTTTGTGTCCAGAAAAGAAAACACTTGTATGAACACAAGGTAAAGTTAAATAAAAAGCTTAATTGCAGTACCTTGTCAGTCATCTTTAACGGAACATATATATATATATATATATATATATATATATATATATATATATATATATATATTTTTTGTTGAATATGACAGACAAGGAAAATTGAATTAATTTTTCATTTAGTTTTTCCGGTGTTCTTACACTTTTCTCTTTAGTGGGAGTAATGGAGTGCAGAATGTTATTAGGTTTATTTGGTTAATCAACAAAATTTTTTTTTGTTACAGATCTTTTTATTTATTTTTTCTATATTTCAAAACATGTTCCAGGTTTCTGGCATATATTAAATTTATATTTAAATATAGTAACCAGGAAAATTGTGTGAAATATAGAAAAAATAAGTAAAAAATCTTTCACAAAGAACTTTAACCAAACTTTTATATATTTGTCATTATACAGTGTGTGGCAGAAATACCTCCCATATTTTAAACTGCCACCTATGTGAACTTAAGCAATTACCAATGGTGCCTTCGTGTAGCTAATGTTTTAGCATTTTTCTTTCAGGTACCATCAGTTACTATCATGGCTTGGACCAGCGCACACTATGTGTTTGCTGTTGAAATGTTGTTTAAGAACTGGTGAATCTGTAATTGTAACACAGAGAACTTTTTGTGCCAATTTCATGTTACATTGGGATGATGCTGTTCTGGATAGAATATTGATACTGCTATGTGATCAAAAATTTCAGGGCCACAGGTTCAGCGCTTAAAAGAAAGCCACCTGAAAAACCTCAAAGTACTCAAACTTCTGTGCAATGGAAAAGTTTAGAAATCGTCTACAACAGTGTATGGTGAGAGTGGCCCCCATTTAGAGAATGTCATTTTTACAACCAAATGAATAAAAACAGTAGTGTTTTATTTAACAACAGTGAAATAATTTTTTGAATAGCAATTACCTTAATCTTTTTGTCAACCTTTAAAGCATGGGAGGCATTTCTGCCACACCCTGTATATACAAGGTCAGTCTGAAAAGTAACAGCCCCGGGCAAAGGAGGGATAAACGGATTGTATTATCATCTAACATGATATCTTGGGAGTATATATCAGTAATCTTAGATTTCTGCAACCATTGAATTTTTTTTCACATGCTTCTAAGGCAGGACAGATCGTGGCTGCTTCACCATGACAATGTACCTGCTCACAACACCATGAGCATCTGATAGTTCCTGTCTGAGAAGATCCTCGCTATACTGGAACAACCTTCTTATTCACCTGATCTTGCTCCATGTAACTTATTTCTTTTTCCCAAGCTCAAAGGGATCATCAAAGGGACCCATTTTGAAGGCATGGATGCCATCAAGAGAGCCATAATGACAGTGCTGAAGGGAATCCAAGATGAATCCTTCCAGCAGTGCATAGAAGCATGGCAGAAAAGGATGGAAAATTTGTTAGACTGGAGATGGATTACTTTGAAGGGGAAACCGTGTAGTTTGTTGTTTGGAATTGTAATAAATTGTTTGTGATCTCAACCCCATTACTTTTCAGAGATACCTTATACATTTAAAGAATGGGAATTTTGTATAGGTATTCTTTCTCATGGGAGAATATGATATATAAATTTATATACATCAGAACAATGTTGGGTAAGTGAATGATGGAATGGAAAAGATTCTATGCAACATATTCATCCTCAAAAAGGACTTCAAGAGATTAAATTAATGTTCTTATTGATGGAATTATATATGTGTATGAGGAGCAGGGAATATAAACATAAGTGTCAATTATAATAATGCATTGAGTGGAAATGCACTGATGTAGTGATGCTAAATTTGAAATCTGAAAAATTTCTGTTTTTCAATTTGTCAAGATCTATGGCTCAGTCAGTCTCATTTGTCTTCTCCATGCTTTTGTTTTTATCGCCATTGTATTTAAATATCTCATACTGCAACAGCATAAAATTTGTTAAGAAGGACAAAATGTTGTAAGAACTCAGAAATCAGTACACTTTCTATACCTTTTTTCCTTAACAAATTAATTTCTCCTTTAATTAAGCAACTGTAAGAAAAGCAAAAGCATTGGGAAAATGAATGAGATTGTCTGAGCTGTGTGTCTAAATACATTATGTGCCAGAAATTTTATTAAAATTCAAAATTAAGCTTTGCCCTCCACCAGCATGGCTGACCTCCAGGAGAGTGACTAATTGTGCCTTTTCCGGCTAACATTCTTGGCTGACATGAGCTGGAACAACTATATTGAATCCCTTGCTAGGTCAGCTGCTTGGAAAGTTGGT